TGCCCTGAAGTATGAAATATGATTACCTTTAACCTTGATTAAATGAGCTTGCCTAGTGAGGAGAATACCTGCTGCTTTTTTTTTACATTAGCTACAGTATTTGATCTTAATTTTTTTTCCCATAACAGTAGATCAAATTTATGAACTTTTTTTTTCATGGAGATTTAAAAGTGCAAAGGAGAAGTCAGTTGATAGCAGAATCAAAGAATGTAGGAAATGGTCTTGCAAAGGGACACTCCTAACAACTGAGCTGTATATTTGCTTTTAATATCTTTATTAGAGCATGCACATAGGAATGTAGACTTGTATATTAATTAATTCCTCTTTGTGGTTAATAAGAAGAGGAAATTTCGGATCTTGATGTTTCTTCAGTTTTTAAGGAGAATTATCCATAAAGTTCAGGGGAAGTGAGAGATTCAGTGCAAGTTCTTCTAGTTTTATATCAAAAAATCAACATTCTGTATTATCAAGTTAATTCTTACACATCATTTATCTCTTGTAGAAGAAACTGCTGACTGGGAGAAGGAATTACAACAAGAACTTCAAGAGTATGAGGTGGTGACAGAATCGGAAAAGCGTGATGAAAACTGGGATAAAGAAATAGAAGAAATGCTGCAAGAAGAAAATTAAACATTTTCACAAAATCACTATAACCCAAAGCTTTTTCTGAGGACTGACATGAATTTCTGCTTTCATATTTTGCTTACAAAAATATCTTCAAAAGACATAAAAGAACCTAAAATCGTTATAATTCCATATGGGAATACAACCGGTATTTCTGTTCTTTATATGAGCAGTTTCTGAACTTCTATATTCTTCAAAAGAAAAAAAAAAGAGGAGGCAGACACTGCAGGTTATATGTCATAATTAAAAGTGATAACATTATTACATGAAGCAACAGTTTAGTTTGAGGCATTTTTAGGTGGTCAAGAAGCTCTTCAAAGAGATTTTGGATCTAAGAATCACTTTTTATCTACAGCCTTCTGTTTGGGATGTAAAAATGGATGCTGTAAGTAAGTTAGTCCTTGAAAATTATTCTCTCTTGACATTTGCACTCTGATCCCTGTATAATCTGTAAATGTGTACTATTTTTAAGGTACTTGTAGCTGGTAGACTTCATGTGTATTTAATTTCCTTAATGTATGTAGCCAAAGAATTTAGAGAATAGCTTCCAATGATTTGTATAAAAATACTAATGCAGACTCCAGAAGAAGCTGATTATTTATCAGTCGGATATGATTAACTGGTAAACATTTAAGCATTTACATAAGGATAGAGTTAGTAACTGCTTGAATTAAATTTGATTTTGTTAAGTCATCAAATGAAGATAATGCCTTTCCCCACAGCGAGAAGTGGTTTAATGAATTCTTTCTGCAGAAGGCTGTTATGTTTGCTGTCTGAGAGCAAATTAAATGTTTCTGGTTTAAGTGCTGAAACATTTATTGTAAAAAAGCTTCTGCTGGTTTGGACATCTTTATTAAATACTGTAGATATGTATAAAATTGGCTCATTTGTTTGGAGGGAGGGCAGAGTGAGTGGCACATACTTCAGACTTACAGAGATTTCAAAATACACTTTGTCACAGTGCTTAAGACATGGAATTGAAAGGTTTTAATGTTTCTTTTTCCTTTAAAAGATTTTCAATTCTTCGTAGGCATCTGGATGTTTCCTGTAGTTTTACCATTAAGTCAGTATCTTGATATATATAAAAATGAAAATTTGGTGTTCTATTTGTCATCTATTTGATAAACTTTGGTGACAAAACATTCATGAAATTCCAAATACAAAGGAAAATGGGTAAAATTAAGTAGGTCAGAGCCATTAAGCACAATTGAATTGTAGGCATGTTACATACAGTAAGCTCTGTCTTAATGACATAATTCTGCAAAAAACTTTTGTAAAGAGACTGAAAAGATTATAGCTGTAATTACTCAGTCAATATTCATCCCGTGGGAATTGAAAAGAGCTAAGTAGTTTTAACTGCCGTTACTGTAAAAAAGGACTATTTAAAATTGTCTCTATTAGCAACTTGGACAGAAAGCTCTCCTGTATTTCTTGGTATGGAAAAGCAATTGTTTTAAACCTGCATACATTTGGCTTCTCGCACTAGTTTATTGCTATACCCTTTCTCCACTGCAAATCATTTTAAGCACAATTTGTATTTTTATAGTGTTTTTCACTTAGCTAGCAGACGTGAGAGAAGTTCTTGTAAATAAGAGGTGCTTAAGGAGCTTTTTCTATCTGGGATTAATTAAATACCACACAAGTTAAATCTGTTACACTCATAAAAATCAGACTATTCACAGCTTAATGGTTACTCACAGGTTTAAGGTGGAGATACTGGGATCTATTTACTGTACAGTTTGACACATCACCACCTTAAATGATGGATAGTTCAATTCTGATAGTGGCTTCCCTGGATAACTGTCCACTGCTCCAAATGTGCACTTCCCTTAAAACTAGCCTGATCATTCCAAGTGTTTTCAGATGTATGATGGCCTTATTTGTATAAGGTTTGTACATCAAGCCTTGTCTTTCTTTTCATGTAAGCATAGCCCATATAATGGTTATAGATATTAAACTCCATCTCTCATAAAAGATGGTTCCTACATATAAAAATCTTCATTTTCCAAGTCTCATGAAAAGCAAGTATGTTTATGAGGAGAAAAAAACCCCAACCCACTATTTAAATTTGCATTTAAAAAGGCAATAATGTAGCAAGGCTGAATCTGACTTGAGCTCTGATATTTAAAGTCTCTTATCAAAGATCATATTAATATTTTCAAATCTGCTTCTCTGGTTTTAACCTGGAAAGCTGAAGTAAGTTTTGTGTAATCTTGCAGTTCAGGCCTGGCCTATGCCTTTCATTCAGGTAGGTGCTACAGGGGCCTGGCAGTTCTTACCATGCTTGGGAAGAGGGAAAGTGTTTGCATTCTACACGGGATGGACACAGGTAGACATTTTCACATTTGTGATGAATTCTGCATCCCTTTGTAGCCCAAATGTGTCATAATAGTATATTACATAAGCAGGTGTGCTAGTGTCTTAACATCATTCCAAGCACTGGGATGGTGCAGAGCCTAAAATCCAGCAGAACAACAGTATGAAATCAATGACAAAATGGAAAGAAAGCAAGAATGGATGTAAATAACACCATCCTGCAGAGACAGTGTAACAAAGTGCAGTTGTTTAAAACATTTGAGGAGAAACAAACAAAATGATTGTTAACAAGTTTTCTTAGAAGAAGCTAAACTTAGAGATTTTGGAATTAACCTTTGAAAAATATGGAAAAGATTAGCCAGGAATAATGTAGGTTAGCTTAGACTAGTGATACATCTTTATTCTGAGATACCAACATCTCCAGTTATTCTGTGCACTGAAGAATCCTCTTTGGCTATTAGTTTACTAGTCCAGTTGGTATTAGTTAATACCTACATGGAATTTTTTGATTTAGTAATTTGTTTGGAGCATGAAGAAGAGGAAAAATTGTAAATTCCTGGAATAAGGAAAGTGTAGTGAAATGTTCACCTACATTTTTATTTGATGACTTAAAGCTGTTCTCTTATCAAGGCTAACCAGAGCTTTCAATTCCTTAAAGTGTTCTAGTAAACTTTGAAATTTTTTAGTTTGTCGCTTTAGTTAGATCATAAAAGTGTTTTTTTTCTCCTTGCTTTTTGATGATCTTGGTGTTTGGTTGGTTGGAGTTAGGTATGTAGTATTGAAGCACAGGATGTCAGTTTTGTCCTCATGTATTTAAAGAACAGGCCTGTGTGCAGGAGCCTATTGCCAGACTGTGAGCTGCACCCTTGAACTCTTGGCTACTCACTTGTTATTGACTTTTCCTCTGCAATAGCTATTGCACAGAAGGGAACAAAGTGTGTCTGGTTACTTCTCAGTGCACTGCCAAGCAGTAGCCGCCACATGGGGCTCTCAGTCCATGGGCTGTATGTAGAGCATAGTTGTACAACTGCAGTGTCAAGAACCACGTGGATATGGTCTGGTTTCAATTCAGCAGAAATTTAGAAGATGTGTTGTCTGTCCTGATACTCTGTATCTCAGTGAAAGTGCTGAGTGATAGATCTATAACAACAGTACAGTAGCCTTAAATAATGTTACCCATTAGAAGATTTTTCTTCCAAACTACATGTTTTCAATGCTTTTTTCCTTTATTTTAAACACTGGGGGTGTTTTGGGGGAAGGGATGTTAGATAATTACTCCAATTTTTTAAACAAAGAGAGGGTCAGCTAATTTCTTGCTATGTTTTCTTATTGGATAAAACAACATTTTCTACAAAAACGTCAGAAGACCTGCATGGCTTCAGTTCTTTTCTCTGTATAACACAATATTTAGATAGATAGATAGATAGATAGATAGATAGATAGATAGATAGATAGATATTGGGCTTGCATGGCCAGGTCTTGGCAGTGGGGGGGCTACCGGAGTGGTTTCCATGAGAAGCTGCTAGAAGCTTCCCCATGTCTGGCAGAGCAGAATTAATTGCAGCCAGAGCAGAGAGGAGTGAGAGTACGTGAGAGGAACAACTCTGCAGACACCAAGGTCAGTGCAGGAGGAGGGGGAGGAAGTGCTCCAGGTGCTGGAGCTGAGGATCCCCTGCAGCCTGTGGCAAAGCCCATGGTGCCCCTGCAGCCCATGGAGGTTAATGGGGTGTAGAGATCCACTTGCAGCCCATGGAGGAGACCCACACTGGATTGGATCAGTGCCCAAAAGGAGGCTGTGACCCTGTGGGGAATTCTTGCTGGAGCAGCTCCTGCAAGGAGCTGTTGACCTGTGGAGAGAGGAGACCAACGGTGGACCAGAGTTCCTAGTAGGACTTGTGACCCTGTGGGGGACCTGTACTGGAACTGTTCCTGAGGGACTGGACTGCACCCTGTGGAGAGCGACCCATGCTGCAGCAGTTCACGGAGAACTGTAGCCCATGGGAAGCACACGCGTTGGAGCGGCAGTCTCCCATGGGAAGGACTCCAGGCTGGAGCAGGAGAAGGACCCCTCTCCTTGAGACCAGTGGCAGAAACAACATGTGATGAACTGACTGTAGCCTCCATTCCTGGTCTCCTTGCAAAGGTATACTTAATCCAAAACTACATAGGCAGATAGGTTATTTTGTCTCAGTATCAAAGGAGGGAATGACAGAAGAAAAATGTGTTAGTTAAGAGTTATATGTAAAATTAGATTTGCTGCTTGCTTTGATACATAATGCTCTAAAGCAAACCAGGCTGTGTGGGGTTTTTTTAGCTGTAGACATGCACAAAACCTTGATTCTGCAGTTGCTTTTATTTATTTCTTCTCTTGGCTATGGTTTCCATACACAAATTTGAAGGTTTCAGAGCCAGATGAACTGCTGTTTTTATGCATTCCCTCTCCTTCCCAAGGAGAAAGAAGCTCCATTTACCTGAGAGTCAAACAATGGCCAGAGAATGGATTGATTGCACCCAGCTTGTTGTCCCAGTTCCTTCAGAAATGTTTTAATGTTGGCCCTGTGCCCTTTCATGACTTTGATGCCTGCAATTTAAACACTAAACAGTTTTGGTTGTGCTGTATCATCACCACCTTTCATCCTGTATCATGTGTAACAAGACTTTCAGGCCCATCGTGTGTTGGGTAGATGAAAGGTGCTGCTGTAAGAGCATTACTGGGGTGGAGAGGAGCCTCCACAGATGTTTAGTGTGGATGTGGAAACAACAGTCTCTCTGGGTGGGATGTGGTGTCAAAGAATTAGTGGGCATGTGAATGAAAGTGCAGAAACCAGGCAAAAACACTTTCAGGGGGAGGAACATTTCTACTGGACATGCTTTGGGTTTCTCTGGCTATGGATATACTAGCCAACTAATATGCCTGAGTACATGTTAAAAACTGAGTGCTTATAATCAGTTACAAAGACCCTAAAAATGTGTGCTCTGAGCCAGCTAGCAATCTCTCCATCAGCTCCTGGTCACCAAGTTATTCCCAGTGGAGCTGGCGAGCAACCAAGCTTTGGAGACCAGGTGCAATGGGTATGGAAGGGAATGGTCTGCATCCCCTTGGTATGGGTGTTAATTTGAACAAGTGTTAATTTGGGCGACAAAACCTCTATCTAAAGACCAGGATGATACCCAAAAGTGTAAAATTATTTGCCACTGTGAAATTAACAGAACAATAGTCCTGGTAAGTGTAGATTTAGAACGTAAGTACAAAGTACTCTAAGCAGGTACTGCCTCACTGAAGCTACTTCGTTCAACCCTGACACTTCACCTAATCTCTGAAGAACTAAGTGCTTAAGGAGGTTTGGAGTGATATTTGCATTTAAGATCGCTAATATTCTCTGTCATGTAAG